GATCTCTTCCAGTCAGTTGGCCAGGTAGCTGTCTTCCAAATCTCTTGGCATAACTGAGTGAGTGCCTCCAATGGGGCATCTGTCTGTTGAAATATCTCAATCGGTATGCCATCAATTCCCGGAGCTTTGTTCTTCGCCAGTTCTTTCATTACAGCTTTGACTAATCCCTGGGTGATGTAATTAGTCACATGCTGAACTACTAACCAAAAGGCTGGCAGTTCAAACTCATTCAGAGGTGTCTGCCTTGAAAACGTTATAGAGTACAGTTCCACTCTGCACATGTGGGGTTGCTGTGAGTTAGGAGTGACTTGACAGCAACTAACAAAAATTGACCATTTGTACATTTTCTTTAGAGAAATGTTGATTCAAGTCTTTTGCCCATTTTAAAATTGTGTTGCTTGTCTTTTTCTTGTTGAGTTCTAGGAATCTATGCTTTTTATGCTTTAGAAAATAAGCTAAGTCCTACATTTTCAAGGGTATTTAAGGGACGTTCTTAAAGACAGGAGGATAGACTGATTCTCAGAGCTGCCTTCATTCATTCATCTTTTTATCCATTTAACTTACTTTTTCGGAGTCTCTGTCAGGTGCCAGACACTGTTCTAAGGATGGGGGTACTTTGATGAATGAACAATTCCTCTGTGCTACTCAAGAGCTCACAGTCTATTGTGTGTGTCACAGCTTGGATAGATGTGCGACCTGACAAATTGCTGTAAAACCAAAACCAAACTCACTGCTGTGGAGTTGGATTCAACTCATAGCAACCCCTCCTTGGGTTTTTGAGGCAGATCACTACGGAAGTAGATTGCCCAACCTTCCTTCCGAGGAGTGGCTGTTGGGTTTGAATGACCAGCCTTTGGGTTAGCAGTCAAATGCTTTAGGCGCTACACTGCCAGAGCTTGAGATAGGACCCCCGGTAATCTAAACCCATAACCCATGATATTTCCCTGTTGTGATAGGGAGAGAACGAGCTCTGGTGGTGCAGTGGTTAAAGGGTTTGGCTACTAAACAAAAGGTGGGCTGTTCAAACCCACCAGGTTATCTGCAGGAGAAAGAGGAGGCAATCTGTTTCCATAAAGAAGTACAGCCTTGGAAACCCTACGGGGCAGTTCCACTCTGTCCTATAGGGTTGCTATGAGTTGAAATCGACTTGATGGCACTGGGTTTGGTTTTTGGTTTTTTGGGGGGAGAGATGTGGACTAGAATCCAGGAGATCTAAGTTCTTTACTTTTGAAGGTTCCATCTAGCTCTGAGGGTCTTTCATTCCAGTCCAGTTCTCATCCTGATGTGACCTTGAACAAACTACTTGACAAGCTACTGATAAGTCACAATGAGAGGGTTGTAAGTAGAAAGACACTTCTCTGCCCATTGCATGGGGAAGGGCTGTCAAATAAGCCCATCTGTGAAAGTGCTTGCAGAGTATCACTTATCATGCAAATAAGAAATAATTTTACTTGATACTTCTTGAATACAATCCAGCCTGACATACAAAATGTGTGCCTTCCAGAGCTGAGAAGAGATAAAGCAGAGGCGAAGAACAGCTTTCAATCAGGGCTGAGTGATTGTGTAACAGGAATCTATTTTTAATGTTCTTATGCTAAATGACATAGTGCCTAAGGCACTTGAGTGCTAACCAGAAGGATGATGGTTCAAACCCACCAGCCACTCCTCGGAAGGAAGACAGGGCAATCTACCGTGGTGATACTGCCTTGGAAACTCAAGGAGGGGTCGCTATGAGTCGGTGAGACTCCACGGCACATAACAACAACAGCAACATGCTAAATGAAAATGCAAACTGTATTGGGTATAAAACATGGGTTAATACTAATCTAATATTGGTTGCTTTGGTAATCAATTAGGATTCTTTCCACTGCAAGAGACAGAAAAACCAACCCCAGATGACTTAAACAAAAAAAGCCTCTATTGTTCACAATACTGGGAAGGTCATGACAAGATTCAACTACCAGTTTTCCCCTGGCTCAGCCTTGGTTTCATTTGAAGACTTTACATGGAGATCTCTGGAAGCTCCACGTGTCCCATGCCTGGTGACAAAATAGCTACAGTCTCTTCTGTTCAGTTCAATGAGAAGCAGCATTAGAGAAGAGGTTGCCTCCAAAGTCCTGAGATAAACTCTGATTACCTTCCTACCCTGAGTGACCCCTGTGGCCAGTCATATCCATGTGCTAATTGGCTTATTTCTGAGTTACTTACTCCACCTGGACCACATAGGTTTCTGACTGGGGAGGAGGTAGATCCCCAAGCAAAATGTGGGTCTTTTGCTTGCAGAAGAAGGAATGGATGCTAGGGAGGCACAAGAAATGATCACTGATGGTAGTTACACGTGTTTCCCTGGACACCTCCTTCCTTGCCCTCTCCCAACCATCCAGTACCAACCACTCTTTGTGATTTACTACATATAGGACAGAAATCTCAAAGATTCAGTGAAGTCATTGAACACTTCTCTTCCTCTCATATGGCAGATTCAATCTCGATCCCTTTGACTGCTACACGGATGAGCAGATCTGGGATGTCTTGGGGAAGACATTCCTGACCAAGGCAGTAAGTAGCATTGAAGCCTCATTCTTAGTCTTGGCCTGCCTTTTCAACAAGTGGACTGGTCTTCAGATGCTGCTGCTTTGAGGGATGGACTAAATAATCTCATGATAATGAGATGACTTGGAATTCTTAAACAAAGATTGATGGTGCCTAGACTCCAACCATGTGCCAGGCACTGTTCTAGGCTCTGGGTACCCAGCAAAGACAAGGCAGATAGGTTTTTGCCCTCCTAGTGCTTACATTCAATGGGAGACAAAGGCAACAAACAAATTAAGACACCTTCAGATAGTGGTTAGTGCTGGAAGATAGTATAACAGGGTAATGGGACCAACAGACACTTCAATGGCAAGCCATACCCTCAGGTCATGTGACCAGGCAAAGTCTCTTTAAGGACATTTGAACTGAGACTAACTGTTAAGGGACAGTCAGACAAAGATCTCTGAGAGAACATTCCAGTCAGAAGAACTGGTATATGCAAAGGCCCGGAGGTGGGTGTCGTGCTGGGCATAGTAAAGAACAGAAAGGCCAGTGGCTAGAGTAGAGAGTGAAGGGTGAAAAGCATTATAAAATGTGACAGGAAGGGCCCAAGGGGGGTTAGCTACTAACCTCCTTCCGCTGTGGCCAACCTAGCACCTCTTCTTCCTTCAGATCTCAAAGTCTCCAAAAAGACTGCAAGCAGAAGTCGTGGAAAATGGTGCAAACTTCTCTGTTGGGGAGAGGCAGCTGCTCTGCATTGCTCGAGCTCTTCTTCGCAACTCCAAGGTGAGACAGCCACCATAGGGCAGAGGCTTAGAGGCCATGAGAAGTCACAGACGATGCCAGGCCCGGGGCCCACTGGCTATTTCTCCCTCTCTTGCCACAGGAGTGTGGGCACCATGCTCTTTCCTAAGACATCTGAAGGGCTTAATCATTTCATTGAATGCCTTTCCACATGTATGTAGATGGAGACTCATAGCCTGGGCTCCATGAAACCCTCATATCCTACAACTAAGCTGAAATAGGGGAGCTTTGGTGGCATAGTGCCTAAGGCACTTGACTGCTAACCAGAAGGCTGGTGGTTCAAACCCACCAGTCACTTCTCGGAAGGAAGGTTGGGCAATCTACTTCTGTAGAGATACTGACTCGGAAACCCAAGGAGGGGTTGCTATGAGTCGGGTCCGACTCGACAGCATGTAACAGCACAGCAACAGTAAGCTGAAATATTCCACCACTAAAGCCAAATTATGATGCTCTTTTCCTTAGGAAAAGGCCAGAGGCTAGAAACTTATTACTTTAAAAATGATCTACTGTACATTTGTCTTAAAATTTTGATGCGGGATACTTCTCTTGTTTTGATGAGAATTAAGAATCAGATGACGGCTGACCTAGAGAAAAATTACATATACTTTTAAAAGTTTAATGTAATAGTGTTTCTTGAAGTAGTCCAAATACTTTGTCAGTAATTTCAGGTGTTCTGGCTACCTAGGCTAGTTAGGAGCAAATGCTCCATCTCACAAAGAGGCAGCATACACACACGTGCACATGCATACTTACACGTATGCACTTCCTCCACACTCATGTATATGCACATACATGCACACACACACATACACTCACACACTCCATGATTAACTAGTTATAAATGCAAAAAAATGTTGGTGCCTACAGTCAGTGCTGTGGGAAAAGAGGAGGCGGAACACAGTGGGGCCTGCAGAAGGGGAGAAGGTTTCAGAGAAACTTTCACTTCTTAAGCAAGACGAGCAACAGAATTTGTAATAAGTACGTGCCCCTTTCTTAATGTCTCATTTCCTTATTTCACAGCTGCTTGCTGCTAAATTGCTTCTTCTGTATTGTTTCCCAAATTTGAGTCATCACCTTATGATTTTTGTCGTACCTCTGTGTTCTGGTTCCCTAGGGCCACTCCGACAAGAATATACCACAAACGGAATGGCCTTAACAAACAGGAGTTTATTCTCTTACAATTTGGAGGCTTTAAGTCCAGGTTCAAAGTGCCAAGCTCTAGGGGCTGGGTGAAAGCCCCTCAGCCTTGGGTTTCAGCTCTGCCTCCAGCTCCTGGCCCACTGAAGTTAGAGGGATTTCTTCACTCAGACAGCTGCTGGCTGCTGAGGCTGAGAAGCCCAAGGTTGACAAGTAAAAAGGCACAATCCCAATGTTACCAAACCACATGGCAGGCCATTAATTTAAGTCCGTTGTAAGTCCTAAGGTTGGCAGAGCATGGCAGCCTGCTGAGCAATGACACGGCTACATGCAGGGTCCAAGCCATAGGCTAGAAACCATTCCCAAGGCTTCTCCTTCTATACATGAAGCAGACCACATCCCAAAGGCAGCTACTCAGCTGCTCGTGGTAGATTCCACCATGGAGTTGATTGCCAGTCTCATCATGGGGAATAACTACCAGCCACTCAACCAGGTCCAGCCAAATTGACATACAACATAACCACCATACTGTGACCCATCTAGTCTATGATTTACTAATTAAAAAACCCTAATTGCTGTCAGGTAGGTTCTGACTCATGGAGACCCCATGTGTATCAGAGTAGAACTGTGCTCCATAATGTTTTCAATGGATGACTTTTCAGAAATAGATTGCCAGGCCTTTCTTCTGAGTCTCCTCAGGTTGAACCTCCAACTTTTTGGAGCTGAGCACATCAATTACTTGTACCTCCAGGAACTTCATGATTTACTAATGATACTCCTTTTAAGAAGATGCCTCGCTTTACACAGTAATATTTGTGAAACCATACTTTATGTGCTAGTTATAATTTTCTAATGCATGTTATTAATGAAATAAAAAAAATGTTAAAATCAAAAGAATGTGTATGTGAATACTAGCTACAACTATCTCATGTGAAACTAGAGTGTGCACATACCACTCTTTGGGGAACATTGCTCTACATTCATTCAACAAATAGTAAGGTGGTTAATAAATCAAGAAGTTGCCACTGGGACATTTTGAGTTCTAAGAACTTAGTTCTCTGCTCACTAAAATATAGTTAGCTCTTGGTTGGAACCCTAACATTCTCTTCATTATGTAATGGAAAATTAGGACTCAAAGCATGTTTTGAATTTGGTCTGTTTCCGGCGTTCACAACTAAGGAAACTGGACAAGGAATTTATCTCAAGTTTCACGTGAGTTAGTGGTAGAATCAGGACTAGACCCAGGTCTCCAGGGATTGAGAAGGCCATCTTCACTTGTGTTTTGCATCCACCAGATCATCCTTATTGATGAAGCCACAGCCTCCATTGACATGGAGACTGACGCCCTTATTCAGCACACCATCCGCGAGACCTTCCGGGGCTGCACAGTGCTGGTCATTGCACATCGCATTACCACGGTCATAAATTGTGACCGAGTCATTGTCATGGGCAATGGGAAGGTGAGAGCTGCCTCTCGGCTGGTGGGAGAGTGGGTACACAGGCTGCTGCCACAGAAGGCCTTCAGATTCTTTAAGACTGAGTTCAGTTTTATCCTGGTGCCCTCCCTTCCTTTCTCTACCTCCTAGGTCCTAGAGTTTGACAAGCCTGAGGTCCTGAAGAAGAAGCCTGGGTCAGTGTTTGCAGCCCTCCTGGCCACAGCCAGTTCTTCACTGGGTGAAGGAAAAGTGGAGACTGCATGAGGCTCATGGGGCTGAGCTCACAGGATCCCCAAGGTGCAGCACGAGGCCTGAAACCAACGCTGAAATGTGGTGAAGTACACTGTGGTGTGGTGGAAAAGAAGACCAAGGGGGCAGAACCTGGAATAGAACACTCTGGAATAGACTCCCAGCACCATGGAGTCAAATAATCAGGCATCTTTTTTCAACTTCAATGCTAAATAATTCATGATAACGTAAAAGATTATTATTAATTTCTGATCTGTGATAAAAGTATTACAAATGGTGTACTGACTTTATAAAAAATAAAACTAAGAAAAAGTCACACCATTTAGCATGTCTTCTATGTTAACTAGTACTTATTCAATTGCAAGGAACAGAAACCCTCTCAATCGTCTGGATAAAAGGACTTAATTGGCTCATGTAACCAAAATATCTTACAACATTCTTAGTTGGGTGCCAGAAGGTTCTGTGGTTCTGTTTCTCTTCTTTCAGCTCTGCTTTCCTTAAGTTGCCTCCATTTTCTGGCCTTCTCATACTTTAAGGTGGCAACATGGTTGTCAGCAGCTCTGGGCTCAAGTGCTATAAGCCTAGCAACTCCAACAGTTTCAGCAAAAGTTGCATGGCAAAACCTCGTTGGGGTGGCTTGGGTCATGTGCTCATCCCTGAACCAATCATGTGCCAGGCTGTTGGAATAAGTCATATGCCTACATCTGGGCCTCAGATCAGCTGGCCTGAATCACATGGACTGAGAATGGAGGGGGTTGGTTCTCTGAAATAAAATCAGCGTGTTCTTACTAGATGAAGGAGGAATGGGTATGGAATATAGGCAGGCCCTAAACAGTAGCTGTCTACCATATATTTGTGTAACTGATTAGGGACTTGCATGAGTAGAATAAAGACTTAAACTATAACATATGCTAACTGGAAATAAAATCATTATATATATATAGTTATAGACAAGAAAATAGAAAAGGTTATTATTTTCCAATTTGCTTCTAGGGGAGAGGGTAGAGAATTTAGCTTTATTCAAAGTGGTGGTGTTGTTGTTATTTGCCGTTGAGTCGGATCCGACTCATAGCGACCCCTTGTTAGGCTTCTGAGGCAGTATCACTACAGAAGTAGATCGCCCAACCTTCCTTCCGAGGAGTAGCTGGTGAGTTTGAACCACCAGCCTTCTGGTTAGCAGTCAAGTGCCTTAGGCACTACGCTACCAGAGCTCCTATTCAAAGTGAGGTAGCCTTGATTCTTGGAGTAATTGAGGTGCCTTGTTATGGGATTTCCAGGCCATACCTCTGAATATTTGTGCTGGTGAATGGGGGCTGACCAGATGAGAAAAGACTCACCTGGGAGGCCAATATCAACAGCCCCAGGAGGGATGATGTAGCCTATCATGCAGGTCTGCCTGATAAAAGCCCAGAACATGAAGGCTCAGAGGGCTTCCTGGTTGGTGAAAGATAACCATGCATCTAAGAGGTAGCACACCCTTTGGGATATGGAAGCCCTACACTGGAGACCCTCCCAGACATTGCCCATGCACCCTTATGATGATCATGATTTGTACCCATTTGCTGTAATAAATCTATAATCATAAGGATGGTACTCTCCATGAGTTCTGTGAGTTGTTCCAGCAAATTCTTGAACCCAAAGGAGAAAGGAGGAGCCAGCATATGGAAATGAGATGTCGTATGGACTCCTAAACCTGCGTTTGGCAGTATCTAAAGGACAGTGTCCATTTAACCTGTGAGATCTTCCCTAGTTCTGGGTGGTTAGGTCAGAGAGAAAGAGAGAGTGTCATGAGGTTGGCTGGTGTCAGAAATGATTAAGAAGTGGGAAGGTAGGAACTGGATCAAACCCCACATTTTAGGAATTGGATACATGCTGATTTTCATTCACGAAGCTATCCATGAGTAAGGAGACTCCACTGGTGAGGAGAAAATATATTTCAAAGTGCTTTCCTTTTGCTTTTATATTATGGTGTCTGATTTTCCTCAAATGCCTTCATATAAATAAAACCATAAAACAACAGTTTGCACAGTGTTTCTTGCACTGGGTAAGGTGATGAGATACAGTGGTGCACAGTACAGGTTGTGTCCCTGCCTTCGTGGAACTTGGAATCTGCAGAGAGTAAGCAAATAGCAGTTACACAACAGCATGACATCAGGCAAGTACAGGAGATGTGGGCAGTCAGACAAGCTTCCTGGTGGATGTGAGGACTGCACTGAGACCTGGAAAATGGACAAACATTTCCTTAGATGAAGGGGGTTGTAGTAAGAAGGAATGTTCCAGGAAGAGGGCACAGCAGACAAGTGACTGCAGGAATGAACTATGACAGGGAACCAAACTCAGGACATGCACACATCCCCTTCTGTTCCTTCCTAGGGTTCTCAGGTGGCACTTCCTTCTCCTTCTTCTAGGGCTGACAGAGTTTCCTGGATGAATGTCCTCCTTCTGTTGAAAATCACTTTGTCCTGTTCATTCCTTTACTGTCAATCCCTGTCTTTTTCTTCCTGGCCTTTACGCATGCCTAGTAGCCCCACTTGTTACAATCCCATTCCAACTCTGCAGGCCACAGATCTGCTCATCTGAAAATGGTCAGTGACTGTACTTGCCCTGCTCTGTCCCCTTCCAGGGGCACCATGACTGTATGCATCGCACGCGAGAAAGTGCTCCACAAAATGCGAAAAGCTACATCCCAGGATACTTGTTCCAAGTATCCCTCGCTAGGGCCAAATTTAGTGGCTGAGTTTTCCTTGAGTTGGCCAGCAGATGGCAGGCTCTTCCCAAAAATGCTGGAAGGCCCTGCAGGTTCAGACAGCCAAGGTCTACTGAGAATCCACCAGGGAGCACGCTGGCCTCTGTGTCAGGTAACAGGAAACATCCCATTTCCACTGGATGCACAGGGCCCCATCCCAGCTGCCACTGTCCTCAGCCTCCGACCAGAGAATTCCTGCTCTTGTTCGGCAGATTGGTGTGTACTTAGGGCAGTCAGTGGTTGTCAAACTTGGCTGGACCATAGAATCACCCAGAGATATTATTTTCTACTTGTTTTCTTTTCTACCTTTAAAAACCTCAAACTTATTGTGGTAATACATATATAACTCTTTAGCCATTTCAACCATTTTTAAGTGAACAATTCTGTTCATTAATTATATTCACAATGTCATGCAACCATCATTACTATATCCAAAACATTTTCATCAGCCCCAAACAGAAACTGTGTCCATCTCCCCATTGCCTTCTTCTACTCCATGGTAACTTCTGACATTTTTATTTTTCCCCCAAGACTTTGAGTTCTGCTCCACATTTTCTCCCATTCTATCTGGGACCTTCTATTATGATCCCAGTTATAATGGTCAGTGATGGTAGCCAGGCACCATCTAGTTCTTCTGGTCTCAGTGTAGATGAGGTTTTCATCACTTAGACTTGCTTTTCTCTCAGCTTTTTGTTACCTTCTTAATGTTTTACTTCTGGTAAGTAGCAATCAGTAGTTGTGTATTAGATGGTCCCTCACAAGCTCATAAGACCCAGGAAGCTAGTAGCTTCACTAGGATGCAGATCATGATTTTTGTGAACTGTGTTAAACCAATTGACTGAATTATCCCATATTTGGTCCTAAGTTTTCAAAAACAATCTTGGAAGGTGTTTGGTTATATCTAAGGAATATTCATATTTGTGTCTTCAATGAATATATATATACACACATATATATATATATGCCTGCACCAATATATTTGTATTTGCACGTTACCTATAAGTCACTCCTCAGAAGGAAGGTTGAACAATTTACTTCCATAGAGATACTGCCTCAGAACTCAAGGAGGGGTCGCTATGAGTTGGCTCCGGCAGTGAGTTTGATTTTTTTTGTTTTATAGATACTTCAAAGGAGCCCTGTGGCACTGTAGTTAAGGCTTCAGCTGCTAACCAGAAGGTTGGTGGTTCAAATCCATCAGCTGCTCCATGGAAGGAAGATGAGGCAATCTATTTCCATAAAGATTTATAGCCTTGGAAACACAATGGGGGTTGCTATGAGTCAGAATGAAGTTGATAGCAGTGGGTATAGATACTTCAGAGGGGCTCTGGTGGCACAGTGGTTAAGGCGTTGGGCTGCTAACAAAAAGGTTGGTAGTTAGACCCACCAGCTGCTCCATGGGAGAAAGATGTGGCAGTTTGCCTCTGTAAAGATTTCCAGCCTTGGAAATCCTCCAGGGCAGTTTTATTCTATCCTATAGGTCTCTATGAGTTGTAATGATTTGACAGCAGTGGGTTTGGTTCTGCATTTTTATACTTTAGGAATCCTGGTAGCACTGTGCTTAAAGCATTCCACTGCTAAACAAAAGGTCTGCAGTTTGAACCCACATGGTACAAAGATGTGCTCTGCTTCCATAAAGATTTAAAGCCTTAGAAACCCTATGAGGCACTTCTACTCCTTCTACTCTGCCCTATAGGGCCTCTGTGAATCAGAACTGAGTCGATGGCAATGTGTTTGTTTTTTGGTATAGATACTTTCATCTGTTCTTAACTTCGTATACACCCATACCTAACCATACAACTTTGTGGTACTACCCATCCACATATTGTCAGACACTCATTTTTACTTTGGTTGTGCTGTGTTCACGATATTCACATTCTGTGCCACTTTTCCTATCACTAAAAATAACAAGTCTCTACTGTCCATAGTGTACTTTCCTCACCCCTCTCCTCTCGCTGGTACTTACCAATGAACATTGGTCTCTGCATAGTTATTTATTCTTATCTTCTTATAAAAGAGAGATCAAACAATGTTTTTCCTTGTATGCTTGACTTATTTCACTTAGCACTATGCCCTGCAGATCCATCCATGTTATAATGTTTCACAGACTCATCATTGTTCTTTATGGTAGTATAATATTACACTGTATGTATGTACCACAATTTGCCCATTCATTCATCCATTGATAGTCACTTCTGTTGTTTCCATTTATTTGCCATTGTGAATAAAGCAGTAAGGAACATATATGTGCATATGTCTATTTGTGTCATTA